TACTCTCGCCTACCCGAAAATGGCTGGGCTATTCGACCAACAGACCACCAGCAGACCACGCTCACGAACACACGTCACCAACACCCCGCACTCGAGCTCAGACGCTTCCGACGGCGGGCGGAGGCGGACCTAACACGGCTAACGCGGCGGAACTCTCGTTTGAAGTGGATCAGTGGACCTCTCTCCTCTCTCCTGCAAGACTCCTCCTGCAACCCACCGCCGACGGCGGAACTCTCTCGGTTCTCGTTTCGTATCGGAGAGGAAGGAGAGAGAGGGCCAGGCGGGCTCCGGGCGGCGGTGGATGAGTACCTCTCAATACCTCACTCACGTGATCACTTGAGCTGCACACAAACACATGACGCAGCTCAGATATGTCCACGGAAGCATCAGGCACAGAAGCATCAGGGTGTCGCTTCGTCTGGAATACATTTCTAGACACATCAAGACCGGAGACGTATGGCACGTTGTTGTGTGCGCAGAGGGTCGTTCGTACACAGCAATGCAGCAGCAGCAGGCAGTGGATGCCATGGGACCCTTGACTTCGACCTCTCGTGAGTACGTGGGAGAGACAAGGAACTGCGGGCTTGCCACAGGAGATCCGGGCGGGTTCCGAGCTAAAGACGAATTGCCCCTGCGGGCACGAATTATTTTTTTTCAAAAAATCGACTTCGCAGATCGTTCTGAAACGACCAAATACGATGTCAGAAAAAGTCGGCGAAAAAAAACTAGTTGCCCTTCGGCTCGAACTTTTTTTTTCGCCGCATTCCCGAACTTTTTTTTTCTCGCCGACCTCGGCAATCGCTTCCGCTCTGTCGATTTAGGGGGGTAGAGCCACTCAGAAAGTTGGTCAGGCAAAAAGTGGTGCCCGCACGGGGTCTGGAAGTATGAGGCGTGGCGACGGCCCAGCGATTACCGGCCCGGGCGAATGTGAACGCGTTATGTATGCTGGTGGGCGGCAGTTCAAAGTTGTGCAGAGCTGGAGACTGAACGAGGGACGCGGCGTTGAGATCACTGCCAAGCTCTTCGACCCCAAGGCTGGCAAGCGCGCAGCTGCTAGAAACAGCGGCACCTCGAAGGCTTGTGAAGCAGATCTGTCCAAGGTGGCCCGCGAAAAAGCTGACGAGATCATGAAGGGCAAGCGAGAGGCAGCTCGGAGAGCGGGCGTACCACAAGCCCGCGGGCGCGGTGGTTGGGCAGACACACAGTCACATGTCTTGCCCCGTCATCAGGGCGGCGGCGAGGCAGCTTTCTCCAATTTTTTCGAGTGGCCGGACTACATCAACTTCAAGAGGATCTGAAAATCGGAGAAGGGCGAGGACATCAAGGACCCTGGCCGCACTCTGTTCCTCTCGACACGGTTTTTTTTTTTTTTTTTCTCCCATCATTGGACTCTGTCGTCTGCCCCTCTGGCCCCTATCCTCCACTTCTACTAGCTAGACGACCCAACCGGGGTCACATAGGAGGGGGGGTTTGGACCCCCTCCTGCGGTACATGCCTGAGGTATTTTTATCGCGAGAAGGGTACAGCAATTCCTTCCCTCGCGACCTACGAAGTCGATGATGGTTTACTAACAAACGAGCTTTGCAGCGCGTCGCTTTCATCCTAGACCAGGATTTATTTAGTGAGAAAAAAACTCTCTCTGCCGGGACTCGAACCCATGACCTGGCCCTTAGCAGGCTGCGAGGCTACCCACTAGACCACCGGGGCGCCACGGTGTAAGTGCCTGACTACCCTGAAACCAGACCAGTGCGCGTGCAAGATCCACACGCAGCAAGACCTGTATCTGAAGGCGCTGCGCGAAGTGGACGTGCAGGGTCGTGCAGCATGCGACTGTCGGCGGTGCAGCGCCCCGGACGGACAAGCGGCGTGGAAGGGGATGTGGGAACACCTGGGGACGTTTTCGG